CCACCCAGCGGCCAGGCCACGCCTTCCCGGCAGGTGCTCATAAGCTCTACCCCTGAGGAGTGTGACCCGCCAAGGGGGCGAGGCACATAGAAACTGACCTGGGGGTTCTTCAGTGAAACAGTCCAGACCAGAAATTATTTTAATACAGGGGAGACCTGAAAAATAGATAAATGTCAGGAAAGCATTATGTGCTCAATTTTTTTTTACTGTTTGAGAGAGAGAGAGAGAGAGAGAGAGCCCAAGCACGGGAGGGGCAGAGAGAGAGGGAGACGGAATCCGAAGCAAGCTCCAGGCTCTGAGCTGTCAGCACAGAGCCCAACGTGGGGCTCAAACCTGTGAACCTCGAGATCATGACCTGAGCCAACGTCCGACGCTTAACTGACTGAGCCACCCAGGCACCCCTCCTCAATTTTGAATGAAGGCTTCAATCCCTAGAAGCTTCAATCCCTAGAAGGATTCAATCCCTAGAATCCAGGCATTTTTAAACGATAATCCCCATCACCCCAATTCTACTTAATATGGGTTGAACACTGTTTACGGAGACGTCAATGCTATGCAATATGAATCACCCAATAAACAGGTTTCTAGATGCAATAGAATAAAATATCGAATGCTGTTCACCAATCAAAACCCTTATAAAACCTTGTAAAACCTCTGTCAAGAAAATGCACCAAACTCACTTTATGACCTGCTCTATTAGGTATCAAAATGTTTGCATATTTAAAGGCTTTCCTGGTAGAGAAAATCATTTCTTTTTCTTTATGGGTCATTTAGTTTTCTGCATGTTAAGTTAACAGGAGAAAAAAAGAAGCTGACATTTATTCTAATATGTTACTTGATATAAATATGTATGAGTCTCAAAGACATTCCTCCCAGGAAGGCAGGGTGTGTGAACTCAGAATGTTTGTTCCCTGCAGGCACCAGGAAAGGTTGTTGTAATATCTTCATAACCCACCCTTTCCCAAAAAGGTCAACCCGGGAGCCCCTGTGGGTAAAAATTCTAGTTCAACTGTTCTCTCTTAGGTTAGCCGGGTCTTAATCTCTTAGCCCATTTTAGGAACCAAAGGACCATCTTAAAGGGTTGAAAAACCTGTTAAAAGGTCACATGTGTAACTGTTAATGTCACTTTTTAAGGCTGGGATCCTTTACAATCCATAAAAGCACTGATTTATTCTCTCATCTTTTGTACTTGGGCTGGAAAGGGAAGTGATGGTGGCATTTTGAACGTCCTCTAAGTGATGAGCGTTGGCCTCAAGACAGGCTCATGATTAACATCTTGGGTTCTGGATTTGGAACCTGGGTATACATCCTGGCCTCACCACCCTCTTGCTCTGTGACCCAGGGGGACTTACTTATATATCCACACCTTCTGTCTTCAGAGCAAGGGACCCTATGTGGCCTCCAGTCCTGTGAGATCCCAGGGTCCTTCCAGCTTTTTGTGAAAATAGACCTCGGGGCACAGATACCGTGGTGGATGCAAGTTCAGGCCGAGGTCAGTGTTCGAAGTTCCCTGCTCTTTCTGCTGTCCTAAGCTTACATGAGCCAAATTGAGTGATATTTGGGGATAACTGTATCTGAACAAATTGCTGAAATATCCCTTAGTCCCAGGACAAATTAAAAATGGCAGCCATTAGGGGCGCCTGGGTGGCTCAGTCGGTTGGGTGGCCGACTACAGCTCAGGTCATGATGTCGCGGTCCGTGAGTTCAAGCCCCTCGTCGGGCTCTGTGCTGACAGCTCGGAGCCTGGAGCCTGCTTCGGATTCTGTGTCTCCCTCTCTCTCTGCCCCTTCCCTGCTTGGTCTCTCTCTCTCCCTCTCAAAAATAATAAACATTAAAAAAATTTTTTTGAATGGCAGCCATTAGCCTTACGGAGGGTCTGGTCAGACTGGTGTTCAGTCTCTCCCAATCTGCAGAATTTCAGTGTCCAGAAGATGGAAAAATGTATCTTTGGAGACTGACGTCTGTATGTCATAGAATTTGCTGATACGCATTCCACAGGAAAATAAAACTGGAATTGTATGAAAGATTAAATCTGTATTGTACTAATGAGCACTGTTTAATCTGTCATCGGCATGCATTTTCTCAATAGGCAAGGTTTTTACAACATTACAGAGGAAAGTAAAAAGAAACAACACCAAACGAGACTGCGTTGCCTTTGGGAAATGGTCAAGCCAATGGCCATCCTCAGCTGAAAGGCTGTGTGTCACCTGCCAGGCTGTTCACGGGCAGGACCGGATGGATAGCGTTAGATTTGGAAATGTATCGCCACGGACTCCCTGAAAGGAACCTCCCCACTCTTGCCACATGGTGACCTCGTCTCCTGGTCACAAATGATGGGTCCAGAAAAAACACCTGACCTCAGCCAGGCCAATGAGATTCTCTCTCCTTCAAAGTCCATCCATCAGTTTCCCGGCTTAGTTTGTACCAAGGACCCCGAGGCCAGGAGGCAGCTGAGGAATCCTAACAGACAAAACGGAATGCCAGCACGAAAAAAAATGGACAACACGAACAGTAATGGCCCAGACTCCTTCAACATACGCCACATCCCTGACCCCCGTTCTACCGCGCTTCAAACATAGGTCGATTTAAGCCTCCCAACAACCTGCCATGTAGGTATTTTTAGAACCATTTGACACATGAGGGAACTGAGGCATGATCTGGAAAGGAAAACACCAGAGAAAGAACAAATAACAGATGCCATTTGGTCCCAGAGAAAGAGAACGATTAATCAGCTGCTAACGATCCAAGGTCTCCGCGGGATGAAATTGATACAATCACGCTTGGCGTCTGGACAGTGTTCCGGGCGGTTGTCCCTGGAAGGCAGATCCTCGCCCCCTCCACCCCCCCACCCCCCCACCCCCCTGCAGGCTGAGAGGGGGTTTGGTGGGGGGCTCCAAGCCCTCTGGCCACACGCGGGGCTCTGTGAAATGCTCTCCGCCTCCCACCCCTGCAGGTCCTGAGGAAGGCGGCTGACTCACACCCGGGGGGGGGGGAGGGGGGTGCCCATCCCCCTCCCCAGCTGGGCACAGGGCAGAATTTACACCGCACGGCCCTTCCTGTGCATCTGACGCACGAATGCCTCGCCTCACTGCATCTGGGAAGTCTGCCTTTGAGCCTTCCCTGCACATCCTGTTTATTTTGCCAGGGCCTTAGCGCCCCTCCCCGCTTCCTGGAAACTGACCTAACACCATCCAGACAAGATGTCACGAAGGTGTCACTTGAATTAACTGTGATCCCGGAGCTCTAAAGGTTGAGAAATCTTGCTGCCGAAGGCGATTTCCTCTAACAGCTCCATAAAGTGGAGAGCGGGATGGATAGCTGGCCGTAAAAGGGCCAAGCGGCAGGTTGAGGGATGCAGGGGAATGATGCCTGAGGGGGCCCCGAGATCTTACGCCCGAGGGAGGGATTTCTTGGGGACCAAGTGGCTCCCCCAAAGTCCATCTTGCTGAAGAAGTATGTCTCGAGCAAAGCCCTCTGGAGGGCGGCAGGGGCGACACTGACCAAGCTTCCAGGGTTTTACTGAATCTGTGCACCGACTGTTTACTGCAAGGCACAGGTCTGGGCACGCAGACGTAGCGGGGAGCAGCGGACACAAACAGTCCTGTCTCCACCGAGCCTCCATTTGAGAGAAGACAGAAACACCAGTAAAGCAGCAAAACAGACTGTACGTCAGATGGACAAATACAGACAAATACAGCCGGGAGGGGGACTGGGATTTTTGCGGGTGCAGACTGAAACTTGAAATGACGTAGCTTAGGAAATGCTTCCCTAAGAAGGTGATCTTTGAACACCTGGCGGGTAGAAACACAGAAAGGGCAACCAATAAATATGATCACGAAAAAAATACTAAAGATGATCATGAAAACAGCAATAATACCCGTGAACATCTGTATAGTACTTATTCTACACCAGGATGCGTCCTCACAGCTTATCTCAGTGATTTTTCACGTACAGGTGAATAAACCCACAGGCAGAGAGTGAAGAAGCTTGTCCAGGGTCATCTGGGTGTTGCCCCAGCTGGTCTGGCCCTGGTGTCCGGTTCTCCCAGCACCGTGGCCGATGGCTGGCGGTCCCCCGGGTCATACTGTAGAGAGTGCATGCGACTGTGTGCCCGGCCTCATGTAGACAGGGCTCCCATCGCCACAGTGGCTCGGAAAGTCATGTCCTTCTTGCCCTCCACAGTGGGACAGGTGACAGGAATAGGACCCGCGCCTCAGGGCTGAAGGGGAGCCAACAGGAACAAGAGGTATAAAGCTCTGGAAGGAGTTGGGGACACGTGGTAACTGCTCACTAAAGAACGTCAGCGTGATGATCGTTACCTTTCAGTTGGGGGGCGGGTTGTGGGGGAAATAATCAGAGCCAACACGGACCGCCACCTCCGGGGAGGCTTCCATGATGACTTTCCTACACTTCTCATTTGGTCGGCATGAGGCTGTCCCCCCAGGGCAGAGACATGGGCCCTCCTGTCCCCAATCTCCACTGGGGACTGACGGGAGGTCCAAATGGGAGGAAGAGTTAAGGAGCGTGGCGTCCTGGGGCCACTGTGTGGCTCTGATCACAGGCAGGAGAAGGCGGGGCTTCAGGGCGTTGATATTGGAGACAGCATTCGGATTCCTCCAGCTCCCTCCGCGAGGAGGAGGCATACGTCCTCCGGCTTGAAAGTCCAGCAGGAAGCCCTGTGGCCTCTGGGCGGACTCGCTTGGTAAATACCCACAGAAAGAAAATGTTCGCCTACAGCGGGGCTGGCCGGCAGGCAGAGAGAGGAAAGCTGGAGAGGCTCACCTTTAGTGTGAACAGTGCGGGACCGTGAGGACATGTGTTATGCTCCCCGGGAAAACCCACTTTCTTTCACCTGTCTGCATACACTCGTGACTAGTCCCAGATCTCCCCAGCAGCAGCCTCTGAAAAGACAGCCAACTTTATTGACTGGGAAACTCCAAGCCCAACCACCGACAGGCACATTCGAGGGAGGAAGTGTCTCATGCAAGGACCCGCTGGCGTGGCCACCCTGAACGATGGAGAAGCCGCCGCCTCTCCGGGGCGCACGGGGGACTTCGGGCGAACCGTCCGCCCGTTTTTTTCTGTAACCGACATGCTCCGCTTTCCGTTCTTCGTGACTTCTAGCAACGGGGTATGTCATTTGAGCCAATTGCCTGGACGCATTTCCCTCTTTACCTCTCTCTGGGGCAATATTCTGAGTGAATCGCAACCCGATGGCCAGTTGGGTCCTTTGTCGCCGAATGAGTGTGCTTATACGGATGTGAGACGGCTCCACCGGGATGCCTCCTCTCTGCGCTGTTGCGGAGGCGGAGAGAAACAGCATCGGTTGTGCTCTTCAAGTTCAGCAAACGGCCTCGCAGCGGCCCCCGGGCACACACGTGGGTTCAGGCCTCCCAGCTTCCGTGCAATTCTGACCCACGGGCTTTGGACGTGTCCCACGGGACCCGTGAGCTATCTGCCTGTGCCGATCCAGCAACACGCACGCACAAATCTAGGATGATGGGAATAGCCAGATTCAGGCATTCGGGACAGCCTGTTTACCGGCCGTGCTGTGATGTGGCCCCCCCGGGGTCCCCTCTGCCGTTGGCAGTCGTGGTGGCTTTGCACCGGTGGGGCGTCTTGCCGTCGGAGTTAAACACAACTGAGCCAATCAATACGCTTATTGTTCTGGGGCCCAAGTGTCTCCAACTCATAACGTTGCTTTCGCTTCTCCTATTAAACGAGGGTGTTATGAGTTTGCACGGCCCTGCCCGGGCAGGATGCCCCCGGCACTGCGGGAAGACGGAGGAAATACGAGCCACGTTCTTGGAGCACCCCCTTGACGTGCCTTTTCATTTCGCCAGTCACACCCCAGCAGCGCGGCGAATACCCCGCGCTTCTGTGAAGCTCCATAACCCATCCGATAAATGGCAGGAGGCGCCTCCCCTCAGCCCTTCTCGCTTAGGATCTTCTCGAACACGTTTCTCCCCCAGCTCTTCGCGCCGCGAATCCGCTGAAGTACAAACCCGTAAGAATCTGAAGCTCACCGGGAGCCGTCCTTCGCTGGCGGCCCAGCAACCCCTGGCTCTGGAGGCTTCCACTCTTGTCAGTTTAATCTGGACGTGAATGCAGGTGTTTGTTGCAACCGCCACTAAAATAAAGCTGTAAACCTCTCCAAACAGACTTGGAGAGCCCGCCCGCGGAGCGCGTTCACGCCGCTGGCTCGCTTCGTGTTTTTCCTGCCCGGCAGCTGGGCGCAGGGGAGGCCACGAGGCCGCTCACCTCCTTTCATCGGAAGGGAAAGCAGCCACAGCTGGGTCTTGAACCCATGCACACGAGATCACGACCTGAGCCAAAGTTGGACGCTCAACCGGCTGAGCCACCCAGGTGCCCTTATATTTTAATTTTCATATTTATCATTTATATTTATTATCTTGTATTTATGTATTTAAAATATAGGGGCGCCTGGGTGGCGCAGTCGGTTGAGCGTCCGACTTCAGCCAGGTCACGATCTCGCGCTCCGTGAGTTCGAGCCCCGCGTCGGGCTCTGGGCTGATGGTTCGGAGCCCGGAGCCTGTTTCCGATTCTGTGTCTCCCTCTCTCTCTGCCCCTCGCCCGTTCATGCTCTGTCTCTCTCTGTCCCAAAAATAAATAAACGTTGAAAAAAAAAAATAAAATATAGATATGTAAAATAAATATAATCATTTTTGTTTTATCAGAGTCCCCGCCCCCCACCCCAATTTCTAATCCAGAGAATTTTTCCCTAGATTCTGCTTCTTAGAGATAAATCTTGAGCAGTTTCTAGGAGAATTGGAATTTATATTGATTAAGGGAAGCCCATGCTGGTGGTAGGCACCACAGGATAATCAGTGGAGATATCCATGAATAAGAGGCTAAATGTATTTAGCTACAAGTAACCAACCCAGCATTCAGCAAACAGGTCCTCTAGCCATAGGGATACTTGGCAATTTTTCACTAAGGGGTCTAGAGGTGAACTCAGGATTGGTTCAGAATGCTGGAGATGTCAGCAAGGTCCAAGACTCTTTCCTTTTGTTGTTGTTTTTAAGTTTATTTATTTATTTAGTAATCTCGACACCCAACATGGGGCTTAAACTCACGACCCTGACGTCAAGAGTTGTGTTCTTTTCCGACGTAGCCAGCCAGGCACCCGGTTCCAAGGCTTTTTTTTTTTTTTTTTTTTTTTGTACTCCCGTTTTCCATCATGGGCATGTTGGTTTACTCAGAAGATGTGTACCTCATAGGATCAGGATGGCTGCCGCAGCTCCAGGCATCAAGTCCTCATATCTCAATCTTAGGCATCCAGTTCCACAGGGCACGGTGTCTGCTGGGAGAAGAGAGAACCCCTGCGGGCATCCAGCGGTATCAGAAACAACGTGGGGAGTGCACACTCTTGAGGTCTCACCTGATGCGCCAGACGGCCTGAGGATGCCAAAACTGAAGCTTCGGTAACTGACATTTAATGCCACGGTTAACAACATGGCCGTGTACCCGCTGGGTCGTTCTTCCGGTACCCGCCGGGTCGTCCTAATCACATCAGAGTCTCCGTCTGCTACTCCTGAGTCTCTAACATCAGCCTGACATTTATTACCCTCCCTAACCCACGGAGAGGAAGCAGGACTCAGACTTCAAGTCTTAGGTGGACATTAGCATCTAAATACAACGGTTTGCTGTGTATGATGCATAGCTGCCTTCCTCTTACAGCAAGTGATCGTGGTTTCCCATTTGCAATGAAGACGTCCTTTCCGTATGAAATGTATGTGCTTAGGTTCAATAAACGTGTCTGACGATAATTTTAAGTAGCACTGCTATGATTATACGTTGCATTACGGCAAATGTTCCATCACAGTAAATAAGGCAAAAGTCATCTATGTGGCACAAAATGCTGAACATCAGGAAAGGTCTGCCATTGTCGGGCAGAGTGTGAGAGGGAGCACAGGAGCGGAAGGCTCTTGGAGCACCGTGGGATTTAGTCAAGAAAACCAAAATCAAGGGGCGTCCAGCTTAACTTCCCAGGCAACATCAGCGGGAATCCGAGGTCTTTGCCAGGACTGTGTTTGCGCCCACACCACCCTGTTACCTCACAAACAGCCACAACAAAGGCTCCTGTCGCGATGAATTTCATTGACGAACATTTGCTACTCCATGGGGAAACCCTGTTTCCGAAAACAAGCTGATGATTAAGAATATATCGATTTCTTGACTTGAACTTCAGCGCTAACATACCAGAGGAGTCCACGAGCTTGTGGGTGTCTGTGTGTGTGTGTGTGTGTGTGTGTGGACACATCTAAGTACGAAACCACAATTTACTAAAGTCACGGGGAGTAGGGCGATACTTCATACCCTCCGAAACTTTCCGTTTTGACCTAAACATTTCATACGCGCTTGTCATCATGAAAAGTATCAATTCTGTTCGCTCCGATTACAACAGCGTTCCCCGGAGCGTGGGGACTCCCCACGGGTGGGGTGCTGTGTGACTTCACGTGATCCCCACAACAGACTCTAGAACTTAGAATCACACGGTGAGAAATCGGATTTCCTTTTCAATTCTCTTTCAATCCCTTCCAGTACAACAAGGGGGGGGAAATGTCATTTTGAGGACAGAAACCTTTACATTTGCTAATACCCACTTGAACCTGGAGAGAGACCCGGCCTTGAGCCCAAAACCTTTTGCAGGAGTCAGAATCTAACTAGAAAAGTGCGTGTCTACAGCAGATACCTTTTGTTTTACTAGTTATCGGAGTCCCGACAAAAAGTACCATAATAATAGAGATTTTTAATTCCTCATGCGAGGAAGGCCGGGGGCGGGGGGTGCAGGGCCACTCCGGGCTTTTCAGCAGCTAGCAAATGTCAGAGACCTTGGGCATCTCCATTGGCCTTTCCTGACCGACTGCGTAATGAGTGACTTAAAGCACAAAACCCTCAGACATTAGCCTTGGGAACATGATGAGTCAGGTGGTTAAGGTCGTTTATCTGGGAGCTCTCCTCGCTGACTCTGAGCCCCCTGTCTCGGGGCCCAGGACTGTATCTCATGCTGACCTTGGTCCCATCACAGGCAAAGCGGGGAGTGGAGTCAATATGGCTCAGACTGACCAAGATTCTGCGATCCAGGCAGGGTCAAGGCTTCCTCGTGACCCCCGGGCCGACAGAGCTGTGTTTATCTTGCCCGTTGTCCTGTCCCCACCGAAAACACACCGACTCCGTCCCAGAGAGCGCAGCACCTCTTCTGTCCCCAGAGCCCTCCTGGGCACCGCACTCTGGACCTGTCGTTGCCGTTAGTATGGAAAGTGCAGCGCAAACGAAGGCAGCCCCAGGACAAAACGCAGGGCTGGCTCCTGACCCAGGACAGGCTGTGCACAGCTTGAGAGCCAGGACAGACAATTTCTCACTGCCCCCCGGGCCCGACACTCCTGTAAAAGAGGAGTTTTTCTGAAGAACTGACCGGTGTGGGTGGGTCTGAGCATGACTGAGTGTAGGTGGCCCTCAGCATGGAGTCTCACGTCTTTTGTTTCAAAGTAAACTCCAGTAAGGACTCTCAAGTCCACCTAAACCTGCTCCGGGCTGGATAATTTAGGGGAAGTTTTTTTTAAGATTGTTACAATTTGAGTCACAAAAGTTCAAAAAGAAACGTGACTTTACTGCGCATCACAGTGGCTAAGATCCCTCTAATGAAGCTGAACAGCATTGGAGAACAGCCCTTTTAATGATGAGGTAATGATGGTAATGAATCCTCATTATCCTTTTGGGTCAGTAGAAATGGGGGCTTGTTTTCATGTGTATTTTCCCTTAAGGTATAACGTGCCCGTTTTTTACTCAGTTGGTACCATTGTTTTGTTGAACTTCATAACATGACTCCATGAATTCTCAGGAATTTCATGTTGGAGGCACCTTAACTCATAGGCCGATGACACCCTGAGCAACAGGCAGGCGATTATATTTTAAGAGAAACGTAGCCAGCTCGCAGGCTGCCATCAGTGAGCTCCAGTTATGGCCCAAGCTTTGTGGTGAAACTCATGGCCATGACAGCAATCACGAGAGGGGCTCCACTTGACAGATGGGATCTCAAAGGACATTGGGGGGGGGGGGCTTCTGTAGAGCTTTTCCTCCCTTGAATAAAAAAAGAAAAGGAAGCAAAAAATTTTTTTAAAAAAGTGAACAAAACAAAAACCATCTGCCTGTCTTTGAATGGAAATAAGGTAAAGATATGATTGATGCCAGGAGCTCTGGCAGCCATCTTGTGACTATGAGGACAGGAGGCTCAGGATTAAGCGATATGCAGGGTGTACAGCAGAATGATAGAGTGAGCCGGGGTCCTTGGAGACCAGGGAGAATTGCTGAACCAAAGCTGAAACTGCCCATCTTCAGGCTTTTGGGTGTTTTAAACCTTTTTTGTTTATTTTTTAAGGAAATGTTTTGTTCTGTTATTTTAGAAAGATAGAGCATATAAGCCATGGGGAGGGGCAGAAGGAGAGGGAGAGAGAGAATCCAAGCTGGCTTCACGTTTAGTGCAAAGCCCATCGTGGGGCTTGATCCCATGATGCTATGATCATGACCTGAGCCGAAATCAAGAGTCGAACGCTCAATCGACCGAGCTACCCAAGTGCCCCTAAACCTTTTTTAAAACGTGGTTGAGTAATCTGTAACTGTTACAAGGTAGCATCAGAAGATTCACAAAAGAGCTGATCTAAGTGTGAAATTCCAAAATCTTTGATTTATGTGAGGAAGATAATCAAAGGGCCGGAGGCAACTTTTCCTGAGACCCTAAAAATGCAAAATATAGAACACTGTCCGTGTCAGGTAAGCATGAGACCAGCCCAGTACAACAGTATCGTCTTTCCCAGAATGAATTCCAAATGCTGTCTCCCCCCTGCGCGCCTTGGTGAGTGCTACTGTGTGTTCTCATGACATGAGTGGATGGATACCCCGGATGCTTTTACTCACGTTTCAGAACTCTCACCTGGATCTGTAGAGGGGTCACTCCGTGAAGACACACTGATGGACGCAGACAAAACCAGCGATGTGAGGGACTCAGTGGGTGCAGGGGTCTGGCTGACCTCTTCCTGCCTCGTGTGGCGGGTGCCCAGACCCTCTACCACCAACTGTTGGAAGTTCCTATGAAATATACACACGGGGGCACAAATAAATGGAAAAATGCCCCATGCTCATAGGTGGAGTTCACAGACAAGTTCATATCACTATAATGCCCACATTACACCAAAGCTCTCTGTAGATTCAATGCAATCCCTTCCAAACGTCCAATGATATTTTCCACAAAAATAGTAAAAACAGTCCTACCGTTTGTACGGAACCACAAAGGGCTCCGAATGGCCTAATTACTCTTGAGAAAGAACAAAGCTGAAGCATCACACCTGATTTCAAAATATATCACAAAACGATAGTAATTAAGCCAGTATGCTACTGGTATAAAAACAGAAATATAGACCAAAAGGACAGTATTGAGAGTCCCAGAAATAGACTCAAGCATATGTGGTCAAGTAATACTTGACGAGGGATCCAAGAATACTCAATGGCGGAAAGAGAGTCTTCAATAAAGGGTGTTGGGAAACTCGATATTCATATACAAAAGGAGGAAACCGGAACTCTTACACACCCACAAAATCAACACAAAATGGATTAAAGACTTGAGGGTAAGACTTGAAACCATAAAAGTCCTAGAACACAGCATAGGGAAAAAGCTTCTGGACTTTTTCTGTATGAAACCAAAAGCACATGCAACAAAAGCAAAACTCAGGAAGTAGGGCCATATTGGACTAAAAGCTTCTGCACGGCAAAAGAGACAATCAAAAGTGAAAAAGCAAAGTAAGAAATGGAGAATATACTGGCAAACCATATATCTGATTACAGGTAAGGGATTAATATCCAACATATATAAGGAACTCATACAGCTCAATAGCCAAATCACTGTCACCACCATCATCATCATCCAAGTTAAAAATGGCTAAAGGGTATGAGTAGACATTTTTCAAAGAAGACATACCAATGGCCAAGTACCTGAAAAGATACTCAAAATCAATAATCACCAGGCAAATGCAAGTCAAACCACATGAGATATTATCTCACGCCTATTGGAATGTTTATTATCAAAAAGACAAATTACAAATGCTGGCGAGGATGTGGAGAAGAAGTAACCCTGATGTTCTGTTGGTGGGAATAAAAATTGTGACAGCCACTAGTCAAAATAGCATGCAGGGTCTCAAAAAATTAAAAATAGTATTTCTGTATGTATCTCTAAAGGAAATGAAATCACTATCAAAGGGATATCTGCACTCTCATATTCACTGCAACATTATTCCCAATAGTCAAGGCATTGAGGCAACCTAATTGTCTACTAACAGATGAAAAGATAAAAAAAATATATGGCAGGTAGTCCAACGTCAGCACAGGTCATGATCTCGAGGTCTGTTGGTTCAAGCCCCGCATCAGGCTCTGTGCTGACAGCTCAGAGCTTGGAGCCTGCTTCGAATACAAACGTACATTTTTTTCCGGTTCACAAATCTCCATCCCTTCTCAGAACCAGCCTGACAAAAAGCGCAGGCGTTTCCCGAGTGGGAGCCCCCCGCCCCGAGCTGAGTCTCCCCCTGCAGCCACGGGGGGGCGGACGCCCCCCTCAGACTGCCACGCCCCTTCCTTCACCGCCCCGATCAGAGTTGCGATTTCGTCAAACAATCGCTGGGGCGCCTGGGTGGCGCAGTCGGTTAAGCGTCCGACTTCAGCCAGGTCACGATCTCGCGGTCCG